TTATTTGATGTAAGATAGTTCAAGTTCAGTGTTATATACACTAGATACATATTGTTTCAGTTGAGATAACTCAAGCCCAGTATTATGCCAACTGGATACATAATGTTTGACGCAAGATCTTTCAAGTTCGGTATTTTATATACATTTGATACATATTGTTTAAGCTTTTACAAATTGAGTGCATGTACATGGGTGAAATTTCTGTTCCGACAAAAACTTTAACTTCAGTGTTGTACTGTATATATATATATATATACCGGTATCATTTTTACTTCAGTGTTGTATATATATATACCGATATCATTTTACCAAATTAATCTACTATAATTTGTAGTTTGTAAATATACCAAAGCTACCAGATTTACCTGTCACCATTCCTAACTTTGAGCTACTGACCAGAGGGAAGGAAGTCAGTCAGCAGCGCCCTGTCACCCACTATTCACGATAAGCGACTGACTGTAACTATTAGAATGCAACCACAGTTTTAAGCGCGAGGAATATTTTGTAGTATCGTACAGGTCCGAACCCGGATCTCCAGAACCGAAATCCAAAGCTCCACCGCAGGGCGAACCCGCACTGTTACTTTTCAGAATCCCTATGCTGTCGGCTTTTGCTTAGAACTAAACTTCTCCGAGCGTATCCTAGTGGTTAGTTTACCGGACTGCGGAACCGAGGTCTCGTGATTCTCATACTGTTACCGAAAAAAAAAAAACGCTCCACGTGCTCCGGTAAGAGTGTCAGTCAAATCCCATTATTTCGCATGATAATATTAACCCAAGAGTTAGCGGTGGGTGGTTTAACTAGTTGCTTTTCCTCTGGTTTATCACTTCCAAATCAGGGACAACCAAAGCAGATATCTGTCATGTAGCTTTGCAGGCAAGAAATCTAATAAATAAGCAAAAACAAATTTTGCTGACACTTCGAAAACGTCTCAAACATGTTTAACGTTAAAACACCTTATATCTTTTGAGTTGAGACATTTACTGCCTCAAGTTGAAACACTATCGGCTTATTTTTATACACCAATACTTTACATTCACAGTTTACTGTTTTATCTTTATGGCACTTTTTATGTCTCAAACTAATTAATTATTGGTGCTTTAAAAATTGTTGTCATTTTTGAGATAAGAACAGTGTTTGTGTTCATCTATATGATAAATTAAGAATTTATAAAGGAACTAGAAGATTTAAGATGTATTTTAGTACTAAAGTATACATGTATAAACTTTAGATTTATTTAATTAGTTCGAAAGTACTCATTATAGGATTATCTTAGGTTTGATGTACTGTGATGTAATGTTTATGTAGATCAAATCCTTTTATAACTCTTTCAAATTGTCAAGAATTCCACCCTCATCAATGACAATTACTCGACAAACTTCACAATAGTGTTGACAAGAGAAATGAAATATTGTTTTATCCGAGAACAATTAGTCTGCTGAATAATTCCGAAGAATACGTTATTAGCATTCTTTAAATGATAACAATAATTAACAATACTGAAAAGTAGAAATTAAACTGTGACCCTGTTTCTTCATGTTCAGATCCATAAACATTAAAAAGATTCTTCAAACGTGGATTTTGTTAGTTTGTTGTAGAAGAGGGTAATTGTTAACATCATCTCTTCTTTTGTATGTGTGCACCAGATTTGCTGATATAAAAATACTATATACATATATTTGCTGATATTTCAAGCTAACTAACACTTAGTGTACACGTATATATTTTCAAAAACTAATTATTCGCATAAAGCAAAAACCACAAGTATATTAATACAAATATACACGCTATTATAATATTCATTTATCAGTTGTTTCTAAATATTAAATGTTTATTCAACACAATATTCACTAAAACACGAACATTGGCGCCTCAAATCAAAACGCATTTTTTCTTCAGATGAGACAATGTTCTACTTGGTCTTTCGCATAAAAAATAATCAAATGCGTTTCATAGTAAAAAAAAAAACAGTTGTTAAAAATAAGTGACACCTTAAGTACACCATTCTTAGCCGTATTTTTTGAAAAATGTTTTTATTTGAAACAACTTTTTCCACTTGAGACATTTTTTTTGCGTCTCACTAGTGTCTCATGTTTTTATGCACTGGTGGCGTTTTGTTCAAACAAACTTCCTATAATTACAGAATTGTATCGTTACAGCTAAGATTTTGTCAATACAGTGTTAGGTTTCTATCAATTTAGTGGCTACGTTATCTTAAATCAATTTTCTGGAAATCCGATATTACGTATATACACACTGTTAGAATTTTATAAGATTACGTCTCTACAATCCAGTTTTATATGCACAGCCAACATTTTTGCTGAAACAAAACTAACACTAATTCAGTATCATATATACACTGGGAAACTTTGTTTGATTTGGCCTCCTACAGTCCAGTGTTATACATAATGAATAATATTTTTATTACCCCGTTTAGTTTTCAATTTGTTTCTATACCACATTAGAGTGTAGGTTAGAAATCTATAGTCCAATATATTTATTCAGTAGTTGATGTTTCTAATGTAGTTGCGTAAATTGCAACAATCTATCACTTTCTCCTCTTTGCTGTAAGACATTTAGTTTCTTACTTTCTCCGAAAAGTAATTTTTCATACTAGAGACAGATTTTCATAATTAGAACATACTCTAATTTCCGAAGTTAGTGTTTGTACCATGTATTGTTTTAACTTCGAATGCTACAGCGAGTTTAAGGCGGGACCACCACCACCACCACCACTTAAAATAACCTCTTTATGTGATCCATTGAAGCTGGTAGCAAAACCAGTTCTCTTGTGACGACCGAAATGAACACAAACAATACGCATGATATGCTGCAGCCGTCCTGGACTTCTCAAACAGGAATGTTTTATTTGGCATCGTGTATTGAAAGGTTTTTATTAACTTTGAAAGTTTCTCAAAGAACGTTGTTTTCATTTCTGCAAGTAACAAATGTATTTATACTATGCACTTAACGGGTCTGGTGTGACGTCAGTGAAATCAAGTGAATCTGTTATGTTTGGATTTCAGTTAATTCATTGTCTTTTGCAGATGTATAATAGCTTTTGTTAGAAAATAACCACAGTTTAAACTTTGTTTCTTATGATCGTTTCTAGCAAAATGTATCTTCGTTTTCATTTCACCAATCTTTATCAAAAATATATAGGCAATGCCAATGATTTTAGTTTATTTTTGGAAATAAAAGTTAAGAGGTTAAACAGGTTTGTTTTTCTTTTAAAGCATTGTTAAACACTAGATGCTGCTTGGTACTTCCTGGAAATGTGCCAGTAATTATCGTTTCTTTCCGGACTTTTATTTTTTGGTATTATATATTAATTTTATTATATGGGGAGTAGCGAACGTACAGATGCTATTACTTTCCGTACAGGAAGACCTTTTAAATATTTTAGTTCAATCTAGAAAGCCCTGAATTAAGATTACTCACGAGTTTCAAGAATGTTTTTATTACTTGTAAAAAGAACGAGTGCTATCAAGACCATTGACCAATAAGTAGAAATATGAAAAATAAGAATTTAATTATTAAATGATTTTAAATAAATGTTTCATATCTTATTTCCTAATTCTAAACGATTAAATTTTCTTACAAACATTTTAGAGCAGCATATATACTGGTGCATATTGGAAAATCGAAAGGTATTCACTTCGAACTATAAAAGTAATAAAATATGAAATTAAGTCTTTGAGAAGTCACTTTACATCAGCATTTATTTTCTGCTTAAAACTTGCAATAAAAAAGTGACAAATCACGTAAGTCATAATTTCGTACGGTGCTTAGATTGAGGCAGTACTGTTTTTCTTTAACCGTTAGTTAACATATATACATTTTGGTTCCGAATGTGGTTGTTATTGTTATGTTAAACCTTAATGAACTTTTAGCTATGTTCCAAATGTGGTTGTTCTTGTTATGATAAACTTTAATGAACTTTTAGCTATGTTCCAAATGTGGTTGTTCTTATTATGATAAACTTTAATGAATGTCCAGCTATGTTCCAAATGTAGTTGTTCTTGTTATGATAGCCTTTAATGAACTTTTAGCTATGTTCCAAATGTGGTTGTTCTTACTATGATAAACTTTAATGAATGTCCAGCTATGTTCCAAATGTGGTTGTTCTTATTATATTAAACTCTAATTAACATCCATCGGTGCTCCAAATGTGATTAGATCTACGTATTTTAAAAGTTAATTAATGTCCATCTATGCTCTAAATGTACTTGGGACAAACCCAAAATAAGCCTCACGATGCCTCAAGTGTGATTCGTCTTGACTGAAGTAAGCCTCATTGTTTTTTTGCTGAAATATGTTATACGGTATTTTTGTTACTAGACTGGAGTAAGCTTCACCGTGTTTTTACTGATATATGTTATAGGTTTTTTTCACTATTTTTACTGTGAATCCTTAAGAACCTTTTATATCGAAATTAAGCTAATTACGTAGATCAGGACTAAAATAAAATACACATTAATGAGGAGAGTCCTGTATAATAACCTGACAAGAAATACTTAATGTTATAAATCAGTGCGCCAGAAAGCTCAAACCTATAATGATTAGATTGCATTTATCAGTATCTTAGAATCATTTTATAAGATCTACTAGTTTAGATCTTAACGCTCTAATATGATATAAGGGGAAGTTAATATCTTTCTTCAAAATTATTTTATAATCATTATTATAATTGTTACATATAAATGAGATAAAATATTGTGTTAAAAATTCATATATTAACGCTTTATTTTTAAGACTTAAGACTTCAAGCCTATCATTAAGGATCTCAAATGCGAGGCAAGATAGCTTATTCGAGACTTAGCTTCACTGTTTTCCATTAGGAAATCGAAACGACAGATTGTCAGAGTTCATACATAGATCTATTCTTAAACGGAAGCAATTAAAATCATGTAGACTTCGCTGAATTCTGAGTCCTCGCTTTGGCTGATCGTTAATTCTGACGTGGGTTTATTAATGTCAAAAAAAAGTTAATCCCTATCTGTATCTAAGTTTTCATTTATTTTATACTGCCAGTAGCTAATAAACTTGCAATGCCAAACGTATTAACAGAACAAAGAAAAATAATACAGTTGTTAATTCTCGTCGTTATCGTCAATTATTCAAAAGTTGTTTTTTTAAACGTTTCCACTGTTCTCACAATATCGTCAAAAAACAACAACAACATGTTTCCAGTTATTCTCTGTTGAAATCCTAATCTTTTCCTCGAAATTAGAATCTGAAATAAAATAAAACTGTGAATAAGAATTTGGTGTAAGTATATATTTCATGTAACTAATTTTGCTGCAACAATCACCATATATTTGTCAAATATTTCAACATTTATTGTGTGTTTAATTGTTGATGCTTATCAGGGAACACAATTTATCGAAGTTAGATAACCCGTGAAGGCAGAGTAAACAAAAATACCCGGAAAAGACTAGTCATAGATAAATGTTAGGTTAAAAACAGGGAAATGAATGAATGAATCAAACAATTACTTCTTAGGTGTTTTGTAAATAAGTTTATTTTGTTCTACTTTCAATGTACGTTTCGCTAATAGTATTGGTTAAAATGTTTAATATAGGTATTTGTAGAAACACACACACACACATATATTCCTTATGAGGATGATTAGTTTTCATCGTTTGTTTAAAATGTGGATTTGGGATGAACTTCAATCTCCTAAGTTGACCGAAGCTCGTGAAATATTATTTGGATTACATACTAAAGTATCGCTAACATCGAGGGCACCCATCTGATGAGTCACTTCTTTTAATCATTATAAGATAGAACGGTATGTTAAATTAGCTACGTTAATTACTGGGTTGATTTTGAGTTCGGGTATATGTAGGCAGCTTGCTTTGATCAGAAGTTAATGATCATAAATTAAAGGCTATTAACAGTGCCCTCAGTATAATTTTGATCGGTTTTGTAAATTTGCAGAAAAAAAAATCCCCATGTTGAAGTTTCCGATAAAATAGTGACATTTAATATACATTTACTTATCACTTAAGAAAGGTGAAAAAGAACTCTTTATGCTTAACAAAACAAACTTTTGGGCGAGCTTCTTAATGTATCTACTGAGCACAAGCTTCTAAATTGTCTTTTGTTTGACGAAGAGCTCATAAACGAGCTTGTGAACTTGGGGTCAATAAACACATTATGGAGTTAGCCCTAAAGTTTATTTTATTAAGTTTTTTTCACAATTAAAAATTACTATTAAAACCTACACTCATTAGCCATTTAACAAGTTTAACCTTTGATAACAAGGAAAAGATGTTTTATAGCTTGGAAAAAAACTTAGCTATCTAATTCAAATAATACATTCCTACTTAAGCTGCAACGAACTGCTGTTTGAGCTCCTTTCAGGATGCCGAAAACCTAGCTTTCCATGTTTGAGCTCCTTTCAGGCGGCCGAAAACCTAGCTTTCCATGTTTGAGCTCCTTTCAGGTGGCCGAAAACCTAGCTTTCCAGACACTTTGCAACAGACTTTTTTAAATCTTACTAGTTTTCACTTTATGTGCTGATTTTGAAGTGACTAAAAAGTCATCTGACAAATACGATACCAGGGGAATAATTTAATCTGGACTGCTAAGCCTTATCTCCCGATCATGGATTTCTTTATCATGAAATAACATTGTTCCTGTTAGGAGAATGATTACCAGAATATGGAAAAGTTACTACATTTTGTTCCAAACTAAATATTATTATATCGCTGCATGTTGTAACACACTGAATATTAGAGTTATTACATGTTGCAATACAATGAGTATTAGAGAGTTACTACATGTTGTAACATATTCAGTATTGGAGAGTTATTACATGTTGCAGTACTTTGAGTATTAGAGAGTTACAACATATTTTAGCACGTTCAGTATTAATGTTACTACATGTAGCACCACACTAAGTACTGGAGAGTAACTACATGTTGCAGTACACTGAGTATTAAGTAGTTATTATACATAATAACGAACTAAATATTAAAAGGTGACTACATATACAGGTATGTGAAATTTCTATGTGTATCAGTTGCTATGCTTTTCGTTGTGCTCTTGAAATCATGTTGAAACATTTACTTTTATTCAGGGATGGTTAAAGGAAAGTTTGTGTTCACGATGTTTACTGTATCGAAATCGTAGTTCCAGCCAAACTCATTTTATATATTAGCAACACAGAACCGTTATGCAGTTTGGTTAAAGTACAGCTGAGTTATTAAGTACGTGGAAAAGCCCTCTAACCACACACTCATGTAAATATACTTTTCTCCAGAGTTAAATAATAATGATTCATTTTGTTTGGTTGTGAAGTGTGCTGTTTCCCAGCAGACGGTGTGCAGTTATATAGCGTACGCAAACAACTTCCAAGCCTGAAAGGGTTTGATTTTCAATTATGATTTCCAATTTAATTAACACGTTATACAACGTAACTCAATTAACTCTTCTTGAACCAAACATTTTTCTATTTACATACAGTTGTTAATCACACTTAATGCTAACTCGAGTCCTTTACATAATGTGTTAATAATACTTATTATTGGCTCAGGTCCTTTACACAGTGTGTTAATAATAGTTAATACTGGCTTAGATCCTTTACATAATGTGTTAATAATACTTATTATTGGCTCAGGTTCTTTACACAGTGTGTTAATAGTAGTTAATACTGGCTCAGATCCTTTACATAATGTGTTAAAAATACTTATTATTGGCTCAGGTTCTTTACACAGTGTGTTAATAGTAGTTAATACTGGCTTAGATCCTTTACATAATGTGTTAATAATACTTATTATTGGCTCAGGTCCTTTACACAGTGTGTTAATAGTAGTTAATACTGACTCAGATCCTTTACATAATGTGTTGATAATACTTAGTACTGACTTAGATCGTTTACAAAATGCTATTAGTAGTACTGACTCAGGTATTTTACACAATTCTGTTAATAATACTTAATATTGGTCTAGGGCCTTTACACAGTGTGTTAATATTATTTAATACTGGTTCAGATCCTTTAAAATGCTGTTAGTAATACGTAACACTGACTCAGGTACTTTACACAGTATTGTTAGTAATACTTAATACTGACTCAATTCCTTTACACAATGCTGTTATTAACACGTTATTGTGACTCGGGTACTTTTCACAATGCTTACTCAGGTACTTTATACAGTGATTTTACTAGTACTGTATCAGATCATTTATACTATGCTGTTAATACTAATACTGGTTCAGGTTATGTACACAATGCTCTTAGTGATATTTAACACGACTCAAATCTTTGGAGTTTCCCTTTCATAGCACTTTCGGAAATGGGTATGATAAGGGAATGTAATTAAGATGTATATAGTAAGAGTAGGTTGCAATAGTGTATGGTATAAAGGGATATGTTGGAGTATGATAAGGTTTCAATCTAAGGATAAATATTGGCAAGATATTAAAGTAAGGAAAATGCCAAGAGGTGTAGTAAGAGGCACGATAAGATAGTTTTGATAAGAAGTTAAGATACGAGGCTTGGTAAGTAAGTTTTGTATAATTGAATGATAAAAGTCAACAATGACGATTTTCTTACGTTCCTTGGGTTGATCTGTGTTCGATGTCTTCACAATAGAAACTGGTCTATATGCGTCATGTGATTAGCGGAACAATAGATACTGGTCTATATGCGTTATGTGATTAGCGGAACAATAGATACTAGTCAATGTACTTTGTAGGGTTATCAGTATAATTGATAATAGTGTATAGGATTAGTCCAACAATACTTACTGGTCTATGTAATTTACAGGATTATCAGAACAACAGAGACTACTCTATGTACATATGCACTACCGGCACTTGTGTTTAAAATTCTTTAAATTATAATTATTAATTAAAAACAGCGTTTTATATTTACACAATAGAAAACGTTGTTTTTAATTATTTATTATAATTTAGAAAATATTCTATGTACTTTGGAGGGTTAGTAGAGCAATTGACACTGATGTGTGTGAGTTATGGGATTAACACAGGTGAATACTGGTCTATCTTTATAATAATTCAGATATTTGTATAGTATTATATGTATGTCTTTGTATACATAATTATAATAAAACGTACTAAACATTTAAACCTGCAATTACGGACTTGTTTACATACCGATCACATGTTGCATCGTATTAAGTAGTTTTACATTTTTACCAGTTATAACATTCAATATAAAGAACCAATCAAACAAATTAGGTGAAATCCATAATTTTCTCTATTATATACCTTGGAAATCCTACCAGTAAGAAGTGGGACTAGCTGCAATATTGATGGTAACTTTGCTGAAGTTATTTGTGTGACTAATATCCTATTGGGATCCTGTAACCAACAAAACTATGGACCCACACGCGATTTAGTTTTTAAATAGTTTATATATGTATTTTTTAAAAATCCGATGAGAGATATATGGACCTCATCGATGATTCTAAGGCTACAAGTTTTTGTAGAAAGAACAGAACGATTGGGTTCTAGATATTTCACGCTTTATATTCATCTATAAAAATTTGACAAAAGACATCATGTTGACAAATTTGAACTTGTTTTCAGGTTTTCTTTTTGAAATGTATTTCATCTCAAGTAGCCAAAACAAACAACTAGAAGCTGAATACCTTGATATATAAACTGGAAACAAAACCGAAACATAATTTCCAGATTATTTAAATGAAGTTCCAACAGTATTTGTAAGAACCCAGTGAACTATGAGCTAAGTAAAAACAGATTGGAATAGGCACAAAGATAGAAAGACTCATATAACGAGATACTATTTGGGTAAAGTTCAATTAGTATTTGTAAGAACCTGATGTTACAACGTTACTTAACTGTGAACTAAGTGAAAATATTGCAACAGGCACAAAGAAGGAAGGACACACACAACGAAAGATACTGCCCATTCAAAAGCCTTTAATTCGTATGTTATATACTTTTATTCTCGCTTACCTAGTACGGTTTTCCGTATAGCACAGTGAATTAATATCATTTCAACTATAAACTGTTTGCTGTAGACCAATGAGAACAAAGCCTTTCATTCCAGCCAGAGGCCTAAGGTCACATGGATGATAAAATTTGAAGATTTCATTGAAACACTATTTATATTAGACGCTGAACAGACACTGAGTGTTCTGGTAAGTAAGATCAAATTTGGCAAGAGGTCTGATTATCAGTAGTTTGCAACAAACAAGGTGTAATTGAAATATCACAAAATCCACTGTTAAAACATAAAAT